TTACAGCTTCCCAATGGGACAGCCCAGCTCCACTGCTCTTTCCTTACAGGACTTTGTTTTCACCCGATGGCTGCATCCTGCAAACCTTTGGCAAAGCACTGGAGAGGTGCCTTCATCCTGTCCTGATGCCTGTTTTGTGCTGAGCTACCCGTGTGCTGGTCTAAGCCTTTGGTTCCTTAAAATCAGTGAGCTGGGAAGCCCAGGAAACCCAGGTAGTCATCTTCTGAGCCTGCATCGCTGAGAGTGGACATAGACAGCTATATAATGGGAAAACAGCTTAAACGGAACGTGCTCACGTTTCTGTGATCAGAGCACAAAGAACACAGCTAGGAAGGGACAAAAACATCTACCTAGCAGAAGTGAGCTGGACATCGTGACGTGTGCTCCCTCAAGTCAATGACCACGATAAGTTCTAATAGGCTTCTGCTGATTGTGCTCAGCTCGAAATTCAGAACACACGTTACTGCTTTCTATGGTATTTCGTACATTTCTAGGCCACTTGTCCTCCATGTGCTGTCAGAACAGAAGGTCAAAAACCTCCCTCCAGAACCAGCATAACCTGTTCACCTGAAGTGATCCCAGCTGAAGACTTTGCACCCAACACACAGGGCAGCCCTTCGTGCAGGATGTTACGGCAAGAATGGACACAGCGTATCAGTGGAATAATACCAGGGCTGTTACCCAACCCAAACGTCCACTTTTTTTCTGTAAAAATCAGTACTATTACTTCTATAGGGCAAATAGGATTCAGTCCTGCTGAGCACAAAGACAATAAAAGATATTTTAAATTTACAGAAAGCTCAGTGCAGTCAATGCCCTGCAGTACTCACGCGGCTGTTTGGCTGGTGAAGGAAACTGGAACGCGAATGTGAAGCATCACCAGCTGAAGGATTCACCAGAGGGATCTTGCTTCATGGAAAGGAAAACTGCCTTAAAAGTTCCCTTTTTCTCTCCTCCAACAAGACAATAATTATATTGTAACAACACTTTTCTGCTTTCTTGGTTATGCAGCATGCCAGTTTGAGTTTACTCTGTGATGCCAACCACAGTAAGAACTGACTTCATTCAAAAGGTCACATCAGCTATACCAGCGCCTGTGGGTTTAAAATGAACCAACGTCTCCTGAAAAAGGGCTGAACACCATTCTGCTCCATATCTCTTTGCTTTATTAGAATGCTCTTTAGAAGATGAAACTGCAGTTCAAGTCCGGTACCACTCTACAGAACAATGAATAGTGTTCACTGAAACCGCTGTTCCTGTGAACTTCACAAAAAACACATCAGGAAAATTAAAGATACAGTACTCCATACTGACCACGCTTCTGCTGGCATGGAAGAGGGCTCTACCTCTAGAGGTCACGAAACCATTACAATCAAACTCTAATAATGGACATAGAAATGTTTCTTGATTTCTGTTTAAATCACTGATTGCTTGATCCTTTCCTAATAGGGTTACCGAATATTTCCAAAGTAAGGTGAGAACTGCAATACCTCGGTAGACTGCTCTTCTTCTGGAGGACCACTGTATCTTTAAATGTATCCTGGATTAAGCAACAAAGGTTTTACCTACACTTGTTAAATTATTGCACAGATCATTACACTGATAAATACACTATGAACCCATGGAATGTTACACAGTCTGGCCTGGAAAATAAAAGCAGCAGCATTACCCTTGAGGTCTCAAATACAAAGGAGAGCTGGCCAAGCAATTCTTGAAATTATGTAATTATTAACAGGTTTCAAGACACAAATTAAACATTTTAAAATAATCCCAAACTCTTAGGATTAGGTTCCTGGTTCAGGAACATTCTCTAAGACTTTCACAAGTGGCACTTGGTTTGAATGTCTTGAAGTTTTTTCTTATTTGAGACTACCTGTAGGAATCCAGCTGCTCTGTATTTTCCAAAGCTGAAGCCATACAAAGGAACAAACCAGTCTGGAACACTAGGAAATTGAAACCAAACGTTGCAATGTCCAATGGTTGCAGTAATCAGTTCACCCTCTGCGCTCTCTCCTGGCCATTTTCTTGTATGACTTCAAATTTTTAATACACGGTGTGGGATTGAGAGGGAAGTGGAACCCTCTCCACCCACCAAACAGGGGAATAACACAGTGACACTAAAGCCTTGCCAGTCCACACGCTCACTCAGACTCACGGCCGCATCTTCACTTAACGATGGGTGGGCTCAGCTCCATCGGGCTGCACTCAATGCCTCTGTTTACACTACCCACAAACAGGGCAAAAAACCCAGGAACTGGGGAGAGGAAGGGGGGTAAAAAAAGTTTAATTCACAAACACTTGCTCCACACGCACCTTGACCACATGCGTTCCACCAAACCGCAGAACCTTCCCAGCCATCTGGTCTAAAAGAAGTAAAAGCCAACAGAACAGAGGCTTTGCAAAAGAAAATGCCCTCATCTCATCCTCTCCTCTGGAAGACCTGGTAAAACATCCAGATTCAGCCAAGTCATAAAAAAAAAAAAAAAAAAAAAGATTTGCCTGTCAAACTCAGAGCAGTTGGTTTAGTAGTTTTGTGGCTGCAGTTACACTTTCTGCCATTATATTGGTTTTCAGTATCTCCCATTAACACCCTTCTGGCAGTTGCAGCATTTTGTTGCCTCTCTCCAGCATTGCAAAAAGAGACAGCAATGGTTCTGTCACCATCTCCTCAACTAGAATAAAATTTGTTACCAAAGGTTTCTGCCTGAGTAGGGCCCTGCTGTTCAGTTTAATTTAGAACATAAAGTTTCAAGAGATACAAAAATAAAACCAGAAGAACAAATGGCTCACGCCAATTGTAGCTGCAAGTGGTATGTAAAAACCCCAGTTTTCTCCCAGGCAAACCACACGGCTCTGGAGAACGTACACATCACAATAGTGTTCACTGAATGGACCGAAATAAAGCTTATCCTGCTACGAGTCATTTCAGGAGCTTTATGAAAGAGAAACTGTAATAAATTTGTACACAGGAAGCCGCATCAGCTTCACATCGCTCCAGACACCAGTAGACAGCGCAACCCATCAGATGCGTTTTGCCGCCACCACTACCGCAACGCTGCACAAAGACGAACCGTTAGTGGAGGACTGGGCAGGGCCACTTCACACACATCACACAGCACCGCCTGCGGAGTACATGCGTTACAGTTCCGTACCGGGCAGCAGACTAATGACAAGTAGGCAACAGAGGTGTATGCATAAAAATACAGTTACACTGGACATGCAGTTAAGCTATGACAAAGGGATATTTGGAACTGGAGAAAAAAATAGAACAAAATCCTTGTTTTACAGTCAGACTGTAAACTTCTGCTAATGGCACCACAAGCAGCATTGTAAACCGAGATCTCTCGTGCCTTCAGCACGTCCAAAGTGTCAGCAAGAACGCCTCGGCGCCCTGCGTGGCTCAGCCTGGAGTAGTGCTTGGGTCATGAGCAGCGCTGGGTCCTGCTGCACGAGCTTCAGAGACCACGCTATCAGGAGAAGCGAGGGGAAAAAAAAAGAAATCCCTCAGGACAGGGCTAGAGGAGACTAGAAAAATATTTTGTTCACCATCTGAAAGATCCTACTAATAGAAATACAGAATCAGGCTATAAATAGAGCTACTTCTACTTAGACTTCAGCCTTTAAAATCTGCTACTTTTGAGGTGATTCATGATCTTCCTTCCTTTTTAACCTCTTGATATTACTACAAGCTCAAAAACCTCGAGAAAAAGAAATTAAACATTATTTAAGGTAACTTTGACAACTTAGGTTGGTTGTTTTCTTGAACAAATTAACTAATTTTAAAAAGAAAAGGCTTTTTAGGTATGAATTAAGATTTATAGGGTCCACAGCATGATGGTAGTAAAGCAGACTACGCAACAGCATCATGGTTTGAAATTTTTGAGTGAGCTGATTGTTTTAGGACTGAGTGTACATTTACAACCCATCTCCAAAAATAAAATGGGATATACAACACCCTTGTTGTTAAAGTCACAGTTCTTCTGTAGAAGTTATGGTTTTCGTCATGCAAAGCAATTTGTTGGGTCAAAACTGATACATAACTGAATCTTCTATTCCATTCCTTAATGCTGACAAGGAGTTTATGAAGTTTCCAAAATAGTGTTTCTTTAACAAGATCCAGGAAGAAAATGTGGAGAAATACATGACAGAAACAGAGCTACAGTGACATATTAAAAGCTAATTTGGAAAACATCTGCTTAATTTAAATTTTACTATTAAATCCAGACATCTACTCATCTTGAAACGGGCTTGCTGCCAGCCTCTCTCCTCAATGTTCTCATATTTTCCACTCATTTTTTCTTACTGGAATCTTTTTTATAAATTTGTTTTCACTGCCAAGTTGCTAAACAGATGTCCAAAAGGCCATTAGCAGCAGAAAGACTTCATTTTTATCAGAATAGATAAAATAGAAGGGTGAAAGGAAGACAGAGAAAAACCAGACTATATAAAATACTCAAACTGGGGGAAGGGCATAGGTAAGGAAGGAGAACACCACAGCTTTGTGTTTTATCTGTGTAGGAGAGCTGCACTGTGCAAACTCTTAACGCATTGAGCGAGAATGGCAAGTAAAGCCATTCTGGATATCCCTTGATAGCTCAGGTCAAAACTATGAGCTCACACAAATAATTATCTAGCTGTAGATTCCTTATTAATTCTAAGGGGAGAAAATAAGTTTTAAAAGACTTAAAAAAAAATCTTACAAAGTTTAAAAACAAAGCTCCAATAAAATGTATCTTAAAGACCATCTTGAATTGCCAGACTTTATGTGGTCAGAGCAATCCATAAGGCATTTGAACTAGACCTATTCAACTGCAGTTTGCTTATTTAATGGCTATCTTTCCAAGACACACCCTGTGCTTTGTTTGCATTAAACACCTCAGGTCATCTCAACTGGATGAATACCTATTAACCTACACGTGCAAGGTTGTGCCATGAAAGTGTGCTTGCACTGATTTTTTCCTTTGAACATTCGTGTTAAGAAAGTCACTGTATCCAGCTTCAGTTGTGCAAGGAGAATATAGTTATCACTAGCCTTAAAAAAGGGAGAGCCACCTTTAGGTAATAAAAAGATTCAGATGCTACTTTTTTTTTTCCTAAACCGGGATAGAAGAAAGGAGAATGAATGGGAAGCACAAAAGTAACAGATCAGTAAGGTCAACCAAGATACTCCAGTTGTGTGTAAAACTTTCTCCCCTCAATCAGCCAGCATAGCCCCCCTTTCCTAGCTGTGCAAAACAGGGTTAACAGTTCTACCAGTTCTGGTTATCCCACCCATCATCAGCTGAAGATGCCTTTTTTGTTGCCTTAGGAGGTTTTTTGGTCTTGCTCTCCCCTCCTGTGTTTTCCCAGTTGGTCTCCCAATTTTCCCAACTGTCGCTGTTACTGTTCTTGTTGTTGGAGACTGTTCCTGAGCCCCACACGTCCCAGCTATCGGAGCTCTTCTTCTCTGTGGAATTGTCCACATAGGTCCAGCTCTCACTGCTTGGAGATTTATGAGCTTTTGGTGGATCTGAGTTGCCAAAGGTCTCCCAGAAGCTTTGATCTACAGCATTGTTCTGGTAGCCCTCCCCTCCACTGTTCTGGTAGCTGTCTGCCTCAGCTGGTCTTTTATGGGGGAGAAAAAAAAAAAAAGGAAGGTAGAAATAAATTGGTTATGACAAACATAACAGTAAAAATAAATGACCACAAAGAAAACTATAATGCTACAGCCCTTTCCTTAAACAAAAACTGAGGATAAAGGCAGAAGAACTAAATACATTGCTCCAAATGGCATAAGCTTATATGCTAATTTGTTAACGGCCTTAAGTACTAATAGGCCCAGGGTGAGGGGATATGCATTTGGAATAATTTTAAAACCAAGGTGCCATGCACTGTTTTGTTCTCAGTTTAACAACTGTCATAAATAGTCAGATTTAATTTGTCCCATTTTACATACAGGAGGTCTACTAGCAAAGACAGAATAATTTCTTCATATTTAAAAAGTACCTGCTACTACCATACTGCAAAGTATGTGTTTAAAGAGACACAGAAAATAATAACGATTAAAAAAAAATACCTTTCAGAATTATCATCTGGTTTGCCAGAAAAAAAAGTGGTGACGTCTCGCCATCCCTTACTTCCAACTCCCTGAACCTAGAGAAAAAAGAGACACTCCATTAATTTGGACTGAAGCAACACCTCTTCCAAGTCCAACAGCAAAAGCCACAACACATTCCTCCCCTTGTTCAAAGAGAACACATATCATCAGCAAATTTCACTCACAACTTACTAATATTACATGGTTGATGTAAAGAACATACACCTGACAGCATCATGCTGCTGGAAGATGTGAAAAGTGGGTCAAATTTAGCTTTTTCATCCATCATGGCCAATAACAGCTTTTGAATTCTCTCATAGACTTCCTCGACAAAAATGCTGGAATTACTCCTTACATAAAATCAAACTTAATGACAGCACTGATGTTTTGATGTTACAATTCATGTAATAGTATTTATATTTCTACTTTCACCCTGTTTCAGTAGTGTTATTTCAGTGCCCATGTAAAATAGCCCAAAAGTTGAGTTCTAGAATAAACATGACTGCTAGGATAATCCTTTGGGGGTTATTATAATGGGCTGGCACTGGATTAGAAACCCAAATTCTGAAGTGACACTCATGGAACTCACTATCCTAAGTCACAGACACAGAGGATGGATCTCAGAATTCAGACTGTAAACAGAACAGGTAACATCACTTTTTTTATTCAAACATTCCCAACATTTAAGGCACTAAGCTGGTACATGATAGAGCTTCCAGTGCAGACTTTCACAGTGCTAGAAAGACAGACCCTCCTAGGTAACACCATACAAGTTATTCAAAATAGGGATTAGACTGTGCAGAACTTCTGTACTTAGCAGTTGTAGTCAGCACTTACCACATCATCAAGTAATGATAGCACAAGACAAAGAAAAAAGTACAGAGCATTAGTAGGTTTAGCCATACAAATGTAACGCAAGCTGTCTCCATATTCTCCAGCAGATATTTTCTTTTTGTATTTGGGACACTGGCTGTCTCATAAGGGGCTTTCCACATCATGCCCTCGGTGAAAATATTACGAGGACTACATCAAACCTGTATAGTTTAACACCCCAACCGAAGTACTGAATACTGAAAATTACACTCTCAATGTCTCTGTGCTCAACACAAGCAGACTAAAGCTGTGTTGTGGTTTTGTTTCACTACAAACTCTTCAGAAGAATATGGAGACTGGCTTACTGTTGGCCTCCTCAAAGGCAGGCAGGCCACTTCCTACCTTGCTGGCCAACTGTGACACCCCCACGGTGACCTCCTCAAATATTTTCCCCTCTTTGACCTAAGTGAATCAAAGTATCAGTAATTAGTCATAAAGTATTACTGAAACCTTATAGACGAGCTTATCTGTGCTTAACAGCTAAAAATAAAAAGCGTAAAAAAACCCCAAATGAAGTCAAAGCTAACAAAGTTAAGAAAATTACATATAAAGTCCATTGATGGAGTGAACCTCAGTCCTTTGGAGTTTGGGGGGAATTTTCTACTGATACACATACAGTTGGAGGAAGGTATCATTACTCTAATGTTGAGCATAAAAACACCAATGTAAAAAAACCCTACAAACGTGAAATTTTATAAATACAGTTTACTATATAAAAAGGATTGGTTTGGAGAGATTAAAAACCCACCAGATCCATTTTATTCTCTATCTTTTACATATGCTTATTTAAATATTGAAAGGGCTTTGAACTTGGGTCAACCAGAATATAGTTGGTGTCTTCACCAATGAACAAATGACAGCTGCTCCAAAGCAAGTGACTTCATATAATCATATACATCCCAGGCAGTGATCACTGAATACCTTCTTCAGAAAGTAACACTTATTTAGAACTAACAGTACACCATCTTAAGGGAAATAAACATTTTTTTTTTAAATATAGAATGCAACATTCCTCATTAAGTTGTCCTACAAAATAAAAATCAGCTCAAGGAAATGCACCCTAAAAATAACCCTGAAAGTAATGCATCTAAGCACTCTGAAATAAGTTGTGGATAATTCTAGAGAACAGGAAACTAATTAGAGTCTTCTCCTGTGATTTGAACTGCTATGTAAAGCTTGTTGAATTAATAAAGATAATGCAAGAAAAATTATTTTGTAATGTGATTAAGCCATTCTTTCCAAATTGAAAATTAATCCATATCCCAAAGTGGTGGCACTGCTTCTCTTCAGAGAGGAAAATCAGTCTGCTTTATCAAAACCAATATATTTTGGGAAAAGGTATGTAGGTAAGTATAGCACCACATTCTCAGAGAAGACTTCATCAAAATTTTGGAGCTGATCCAAAATTCTAGAAGCACAGAACAAATGCATGCCAAATGGGAAAGATGTAAGAGTAGTTTTTTTAAAACATATGAAACAGGAAGGCAACATTTGACACTGGGGAGAATCTTTGACTGAAATTTGTAGTATCAGTCACCACTAGTCACTTATGAGGACTGCTTTGCTTTTTTTATATGCCCACTAGTGACTATCTGCATTTCCTTGGGTCAGCGGGTGTGCTTTCTTCCAGCTGCCGTTAGAAGTGCCATTAGCCACACGTTTTCGGTCATTAACAATTGTAAAGGGACGATGAAAATCTGTTTCAAACCAGTTTCCTAGAAACAACACCCAGCAACTAGAACAGCTAATCAAATTGTTATTTTAGCCCAAGCTTTCCATACGAATGCATGCAAAACTTGGTATTAACTGACTACCAGAATATTCTGAACAAATAACAGTTGCAAGAACATGTTACTTCTATTGATAAATTGTCCCCATTCACCTTAAACATACACTTTGCCCCAACTTCTACCACCCCCAATGAGGCAGCAGGTGAACTACAGTGGCTCAGATTAAGCTGAATTAAAACAACGCTGGCAGGCAGATGGGGAAAACTCTATGCACTTAACACTCAAAGATACTACTGATAGGGTTTGGGGTTTTTTTTTTAGACCTGATTTTTATATCTCTTTAGGGTGCATTTTCATCTTGTCCCATCTTCCGTTACTGAAAGCATGAAATCTATCAAATAGTGTCTAATGGGGAAGAATGTAACAGACTCTTTGGACACGAGACCGATTTGTGGAGAGAAACTACCCACATTAACCTTTCTTTGCTAACATAGCAGGTTTGAATTATTCGATGTTTCCTCTTTGCTTCTGTGCCAGTATATGAAAAACAGAAGGACGCACTGCAAACTGGGCAGTTGTGGCAGGAAGAAACAACCAGCATAACCATGTTCTGCAAGTAATTTACTAGTTCCAAAGTTACCTTTTCCTGTGCAGGTTTGAGAACATTTTCATTTAATGTCTGACCTAACTCTGATGCCTATTTAAAAGCAAAACAAAAACAAAGGTCAGTTATATTTTCCTTTTTTTTTTTTCAAAAACAAAAACAAAACCCAAAGCCAACACCTTCTGCAGGCTAATTTCTCAGCAGTATCTCCCAAAACACGTGAAGCCTTAAGCTTTGATTTATAAAAGCAGAATGAGCTGAAAAGCACACACAGTACAGTGCTGCAGAAAACATTAAAAGAAAATAAATTTAAAAACAGATGCACATGGCAATAGGTTGCTGAAGATGCCCAAAGCCCAAAGTCTGACCTTGCACTGGAAGCAGAAGCAATGGTTCAACCAGCAACAGCCTAGAAGATGGGCCCCTTGCTAATGCCTGCAGCTGAGTGTTTGGAAGAACTGACCTCATCCACTCTTATTTTTCCTTACTAATGGAATTACTTGTAGAATTCAATCTTTCTGGCCAATTTTTCACCAGTTCTTCTGTCTTGCAGTGCTGCTATTGTCATCTATTAGTAACAGCCCAGTCGTTTCTAAGCAATACACAAGAGGCAAAGCTGTGACAGAAGAATTTCTGTAATCTTTTTTACAGGTCCAGATTTGCAGGGAGAGAAAACAACGAGCTTTAGAAATCTACCGTGATCCAGAACAAGATGCGTCAGGATATTGTACTTCAGAGGCATCTTACAAAAATGTCAGCCCACCGTGTAAGTCACAAAATTACTTTAATAAGATGATATTGACATGGACATCAAGGTTTGTAAGTGTTTCATGTGAAATCATTCCTTTCTCTACCACCATAAAAAGCCTTTGATTGATTTAAACTTTTCTTCAGAATTGCCATATTATACCAATTACATTCTGAATTAGCCCAATTAATGCAAAAGGGCCAATTTGCTTGCCAAATATTATTCTTAAACACCAGCAGAGACTAATGAAGTTTCATTTCCTAAGGGTTTATGTCTTATTGCTAAGATTGGTTAGGGTGTGAGCCTCCATTCATGTTCTTCCTGGCAATGGAGCACCTTAAACATCTTTCCTCCACAGATTCCCAGGTGTCTAAAAAGCCTTTCCCTCAGCCACAGCACTACTAGGATCTGCCCTCTACCCAGCCACCACTAGCTTCAATACTTCTACTCCTTACCAGTTCAAAAGTTATTTGAACAGAGAAAGGCAAAAGGTAACCCCATTTCCACCTCACAAGAAATGCGAATGCAAATCACCTAAGGCTTGTTTCCATTGGGAGTGAAGCTAGAAAGTGCTTCAGAAAAACAAGACATGGGATTTTTCATCTCTGAAAAGTCTTTCAAAGTCTATTAAACATGGCAAACTGTTTACACTATATAATACAAAGTGTAATAGACCAAGACTAACAGTTCAGGTACGCTAAGTGAAGTCATTGCTAGAATTAGGAAGAATTCTTATATTATCTCATTTGCTCAACCACATAATTTTGCAAATAGGGAAAGGGAATATTTGGGTACAATTGTGCTTCCACTTGAAGCGCTTCTTCATCTTTACTATTGTTGAATTTAGGACAGCGTCCTAACCACCATTACAAACACTACCTAAGGGGACTTTTATTAAAGAATCTGCCTTCAAACAACACCCCAGGGGAGTTCTTGGTATACTGCATTCCTAATCAGCCATGCAAACGGAAATCCTAACGTCATCTGGGTTTATGAAGAGCATGGACAACAGTACAGCATGTTTTCTGAGGGTGCAGAGCTTGGGTCTCTCTCCCATTTAACCTATTTTAAATAGGTTTGAAGAAACATTACTGTACGAAACACGCAACATTATTCTACACAGATTTGGACTTCAGGCAAAAAAAGAAAAGACAGCTCAAGAGCAAATGCACATATTCAGCACGAACAGTGACACGGAGTCCATGCACAAGAATATATGTGAGGGTGTTACCGGCTCTGGCTGCTGCTTGTAGCCCCAAAACTTTACCCAGACAGCAAAAGAGAAAGAGCAAGGAAGGTAGAAGCAGCTTTTAGCAAAAAATTGGCAGCATTTTTTCAGGCAAGTTAAGTAGCATGAACCTTTTCCAACTTGAACATCTACTGACAAGACAAAACAGTGAATATGTTTGGTCACTACACACCAAATACACTTTTAAACAATATATTACATCAAAAAGATGTTAAACCTGTTCTACAGAGCAAAAGATCAGATGCTTCAGAAAAAAAAAAATAAATCTAAGCTTCAGTAAGCCAGCAGACTCTAGAGCACCATGTTGCTGTGGTCCTTGTCAGCAGATGTGACGAGCTTTTACACTTCATATGATATTTACATTTGCTAATAATACTAAAGAAAGAACCGTTTTCTAAAAGGGAAACTGCCAGAAGGAGTGAAAGAGGAAGACCTGTAGAACACTTAGTTTTTCTAACATAAGCCAAGCAGCAAATACTTTAAAGCTTTTAGGTATCAAGTCTGGGTGCTTTAACAAGGTATTTTTGTTGCAAAACATGCACAAGTTTGGCTCGCTATCTGTAGTATTAACATCCTGCTGCATACATCTGTCTGAACACCAACACCTACCTGCAGGGTTTGCATTTGCTTTGAGCAATAGCATCCTATGCACATCAGAGAGCATTCCAGGCTAACGCTATGCGTACAAGAAGAGTTATAGCTCAAAGTAAAACCCCCTATATCGTATATTAACATAGGCAAGCCCTCTCTCACTCAGAACTTGGACACGTTAAGAATCCTATTCTTCTACATATTTTTACATTTGAATTTCAAACTTTTCCATGCAAACAGATCTTGCTTATGTCAGAGTTCTGTGGAATTCAGGTCTGTCTCTGGTTTAACCCCAGTTCGAAAGAGGAAACGCTTTTGTAATTGCTACTTTTTAAAATACACACAAGCAAGTTAATGTAATAAAATAATATTAAGCACTTCACATTTGTAATATCTCATTAGGCTTCAGCAATGGAAAGATGGCTTGCATTATATCATCAAGAAAACTACTTCAAGATAGTCCCCATTTAAGGTTCACAAACACATCACACGGGTATTTTAAGTCTGCAAGCATGAATTAAAGCATTTCATTCTACTGCCTCTGCAATATACCTGACAGTTATACACAGCAGAGCATCACTGTTTATTTCTTGCTTAGTTTGATCACTGCAGTTGATTGCAATTCCCACAGAAATAAAAACTAGAACCTAAAAATTACTGTGCACTGTGAAGGATAAACACACTGGTCTGCTCATGATCAAGTCTAAGTTAATTGGTGCTGGCAAATACATAATATTTAAAGCCAATTACCAACAATAAGACAGAACTAAATCTATAATCACCTTTTGACTTGCTTGAGATCCAAATCTGCTAGCCTGTGAAAAGACGCAAATACATTCAAGTTTAAAAATCAAAGACGCTATTCCCAGTAAACATACACATTTAGAAATGTTGCGTGATCCTCTCCAAGATGAATGGACCTTTGGCAGAATTCCACAATGAACAGAGAATATCCATGTCACCACCGCTGGTATCTCAGATTGCTCTGGGAAAGCATTGGTCTTTTTCAACATACAACAGGGGGAAGAAAGGCTCTTCAATATAGACTAGACCTTTGTGGGCCGAGGCAGATGAGTATCAATATTTTTGTCTCTCATAAAGTCACTAAATTATTTTTAAGAGATAACTGTTATGCTCATAAAAGTTTGTAAGAACACTAAGCAAAACTGAGAGAAGTTGTAATGTGTTTTTTTTTCACAAAAAAACCTCTTTCTACCATCATCTTGGTAAAACATAATAAATTTTTAATTCCTCTGGTTTCAGTCCAGAGTTAGTTGACTGACTGTCACCTAAGAGCGCAAATTTGCAGAACATGCAGAGCGTGAGGACCATGCCTCAGTTTTTCCCAAAGCATCCCTCTGGGCACAACCTCTGCCAAACAAGCTTTGTATTTAAACTGACAAAAATGCTGTAGTTAGAGAGCAGTCAAAGGAAGGAAAGAAAAAGAAAAAAAACCCCAAAACCCAAACCATCAGCAATTTGTGACTTAGTATTAAATTCCAAAAAATGGCCCTACTTGGAACAGACCAAAATTTCTGCTTTATAAATAAAAATATCCAATGGACAAATCTACAAAAATGTCCATCCAGAAACAAGAGAAATAGTTAAGGCAGAGATCTGCATCCAGTGTGCACCTATTTTATATGCCACAGGCAAAGATACACAAAGAGCAGAGTTTAGTTTGTCTTGGTAATACTTTTAAAGACACATTCCTATTAGAACACTAACAGAATCTCTGAGTTTACAAGAATTACACTGAAATACGTTTTGTTTACTTACACCCTCTTTAGCAGCTGAGGCAATCTTGCTTGCTCCAGTTGTGAAACTGCTCCATCCCTTTAAAGAAAGTGAGAAAGTTGTAAGCTATGTGTGAATAACCAAGTGTTCACTATTACACGTTAAATTAAGTCAAACACCTTCTCCAGAGCAGCTTGTCCTGTAGCCGTAAGAATTACTTGCTAGTAAGAGCAAAAATCATAGTCTCTCACTTAACTGTCATACAGCAATGATTTTCCATTATTTGTGTCCAAACAGCTGCAACAAGAACAAACCCAAGTGCTTCAGGTGTTATTCTACTAAAAACAGCTATATGAAAAAAAATTCCTTCCCCCCTTCAAGGAAGAGAACAAAAAAACCCACACCACTAAAACTTTAGTAAACAGAGAACGGATCTTCAACAAGCAAGCACTGGATGGAGAAAAAAAATAAATCAAGGAGCACCTAATGTATGCCTGGAAAAAGCTGAAGAGAAATCAAGAATTGATGCTCAAAAACATGAGGTCGCAAATGCTAAAATGCCCATCCAGCAATTTTCCTTTTCATAATAAAGCTTCAACCTGCTTGTTTCTTGCAAATTTTATCTTTTAGAACAAAAGAAACAAAGCTTTATTTTGCCCCATTGGTTCTTGGAAGATCTGAAAACTTACCACCACAATCCAGGTTTGGCCACTTCTTAATAGACTTTTCTGTCATGAATCAGAAAAGGCTTCTTCTAACTACTGATTGTCAAATTCTGACTAAGAAACCAGCTAAAAGAAAGTGGAGCAGGAGAGGCATTCTAATGATTTTAAAAAAAAACAAACAAAAAAAAACCCCACAAAAATCCCCACAAACCAAAACAAATTAAAAAAAAAAAAAAAATCACTTCTCAACTGTCAGTTCTTCTCAGTAACTCATTCATCCAGAAGCTGCCCATGTAAAACAAGTCAGGGGAAAACCCACCATACTTGAACGGATAAAAATCAGAAATAAACTTTAATACATGTGTGGTTCTCCATGGATATAATGATGAAGAAATAGATAAGGTTTTTTTTTTTGCAGATCATCACCATGTAATTGTAAGCTGTACTGCAGAATCTTTTAAATGCAGGTTACTATCCATGTCTACCACTGCCTTTTATTGATTCCATTTCCATCAAGGTGTGGATGTTTTGGTAACATATTACCTTTTGGGTTGACTTCCATAAACAGGCTGTAAATAGTAGAATCTTTTTCTCACTACCCCTTCTATTTAATTTGACTATGCCACATATTCAGGTTGAGAGAACATCTTTTAAAAAAAGCAGCAAAAAAAGTATTTTTTGCCTGTCCTTTTGAAGTCTCTTCATTAATTGTCCTTCTTTCCTGTGCTGATACACTAGAAGATAATTATGTCACCACTTGCACAAAAGGCAAAGTGATGTGTCTTGTAGTTTTTACGTTAAGCAGAGTCTCAAGGGACTCAATTACAATTATAGCCGTTCTTTACAGAATGAGTTGGATAGCGCAGCCTGTGTGAATTCTACAGAAAGGGCTCCTTCTGATATGTAACAGCAGAAAATAACGTTTATACATAAATATGGCATGTGTGGGGGAAAACGATCATACACAGTGGAAAGAAAATTGGTTTCCTCTCTAGGATGAGTATCCATGCAAACATTCAGTTTCACTGTAATAAACAACTTAAACTGCACTGTAGTATGCATCTGCGGTCACAAGATGGCATTTGAATCATAAGTTTCAGTGAGATCATGTATTCAAATAATGGTTGACAGTAACTTGGACAACACGGTGTGATCTCTCCTTTGCTCTTTTAGGACATCTGCAATGCATTATAGATGTGGTTTCTAATCTCAACTCTAGCCTACAAGCTATGTTATACCTAGAAAATACTCAGCAGACCTATATTAAGCACCCTGTGGGATCACCTGGGATACTCTTCAAATGCTCAGGCATTACCATTTTCTATTATGTTCTAGTGACATTATTATATTAAAAAAAAGAAACAAAATCCAGACAATGGAACCTGGTGTGGACGTTTAGACTGATCAGGCTCTACAGAAGACTACTGGCCACTAACGCTGGTAGAAAACCTTCCTGTATTTCAAAGTGATTCCAAATCCCAAATATTGTTCAGCACCGTTACTTTGCAGCCTACCAAAGCACCAATACGGCCCTGACTGCCTCCAACTTGTTCCCATTTTCCTTCAACAATGCATCTTTCACTGTCTCTAATCATGACAACTGTTCAACCACATGCTGTTATCTCTTCACACCCTGTGACAAGTATTTCAAATGTTTTCATCACTGCTCAGGGCTCCTGGCACCCATGCACACGCACATTTCAGTCACTGAGCATATCTAATACAGTTAATCTATTTAGCGCATTCCCAGCCTAACTGCTATTCCCAACAGATAATTCCTTTTTTTTTTTTGTTCCTCCAAACCCTGTTGAGTATTAGTTCTTAATCCATTGCTATATCCTCATTTCCTTATTTCTGTGAAGAGATACCAGACATAATTGCTAAGTTTTGCTGGAGTTTCTCCCTTCATTTTGCCTTTTAAAGTCTACCAGTATCTTCTTCACTGTTTGAGAATACAACCAATACTTGACATCTCGCTGTATCTACTTGCAGTCTTTAGTTTCTCTTCTCTGTTTATACTCTCCCATAACGGAAGATAATGTAGAAAAAAACCAGTAATTCAGGTCACAGAAAGCTTCAAGCATTTCCTTACCGAGTACAATGAAGACATTGCATTATTCAGGAAGTCATCCTCTTTTTTCGGAGGGTTTACTGTGTTTCTCCCATAATGGAAGATAAAGTAGAAAAAAACCCAGTAATTCAGGTCACAGAAAGCTTCAAGCATTTCCTTACCGAGTACAATGAAGACATTGCATTATTCAGGAAGTCATCCTCTTTTTTCGGAGGGTTTACTGTGTTTCCAAACCCCACATAGCGATTCTCTTGGCCACTACCATAAGAAAATGAATAAATAGTATCTGTATCACAGCATGCTTTCATTAAAACCATTAAACAAAAACTGAAAAGCATGAAAGAATGATGATTGTTTAACAGATTTATAATATACCAGGAAAAAAAAAGTCCTAAAGCACCTGGCACCCAAAGTACAAAACCACTCACTTCATAAAACTGTAACACCAACAAGGATCCACTGGTGAATCCTTGCAAACTGAAGTGTCCCCTACGCAAGCTAATGTGGCCTTAGTGATTCTCCAGGTTTAACACATCACTGATATCTGAGTAAATCCTGATAAAGTGATACATGAAAATGGGAAAAGGAAAGAAAGAAGAAAACAGTGTTAGCATTAAATACAGTGATTTGAGTTAAATGAGGGTAAGATACTATACACACTACAAATTCCCTACTTTGAAGCCCACCACAGTAACATTTTGAGTTACAAGTTCTTTCTTCAATGCTGTTCAAACATTTGTTATGCAAATGCATTAAGAGGCACTTTCCTTCCTCTTACCCTTTACCATCTATTATAAAACTATTTTTAATAGTAAACAAGATGTAAATTTTAACTACTGGATCAGGATCACAGTTGTGTAGCTGTAGCAACATACCCAAGTCTTTGTTATGCTATAGGGTTAGGCACTCAAAAAGTTAATAAATATTGCATTACCCTTGGTAGGAGCTGACATCATCATTTAACCAGTCTTCAAAAGCCTTGTCAGAAGAAGCAGTCGCAGTCTGAGATTGTCCAGCAGAACTACGGAAAGGAAAGATTTAAGAATCAAACCACATGAAGCAAAAACCGCTAGCTCAGCAGTGCAGCGTGACATATATCATCATAATATAGGTGCAAAATTGATTATTTCTTTCATCTATCAAGTAGAGAACTCTAATGCAACCACTAAAAGCCACTGGAGTATTGAATGAATGAAGCAACAGTAGACCGAGACACAGACAATGATACTCAGACTACAGCGAGCCCCTGAACCTGCTGGATGATGGCCAGCCACGAAGCACTTGTTCACTTGATTTACTGTCGCTTTTTCAGTTAATTTGATTCTATAGTGCAAAGAATAGCAAACACTACACCCAAGAGCAGAAGAACAAAACCGCTGCTGTCCAGCTTTGGTGGTCCTGTTAGTAATTAGCATCATAAGGAAAAAGCCTGTTACTCCCTCCCTGGCATTCCATCACGAACTGGAACAGCGCTGCAGTAAAGGTAAGGCTGTGACACACTATGTGTGATCGACACAACCCTCCTCTCAGGTGGACTACAAGGCAAAAAAAAAAAAAAAAAAAA